CATATAATAGTATATCAAATAAACTGATTAGATTAACTTTCTCTTATTAATTACTTTTATTTAGTGGATAAACTATAAATTTATGCTCATGTTTCCTAGTTCTCAACTTTCCTTGTGCCCAATTTTCGTAAAAAAGCCATCGAACAAATTGACATATTTTTGAAGCGTTTCTAATGACATATAACCGTGTGTAGCTGCTAAATTCAGTTGACGTTTCAGATTATGATTATAACCAAAATCAATGTCGATTGTCTCCTGAAAATAAACACTTTGGTCTGATTGTTCAAAATAACACATAAACAGTGTATTTAATAATGATGATTTTCCATGACATGAACTAATACCAAATGATAAAAATGTTGGTGTCTTATAATTCCAAATGTGAATAATATCAGGAATACATTCTGTATATTGATTAGTTTTCCAGTTATGAACATTGGGTACAAGAATGGTACAGGATTCCGTTTTGTCAATAATTCAAGAATAATACGACGTGAGAATTGATCAGAATTCATCAATAATATATGTACAAACGCTTTTAACGATATTTTTGGTATATCTTGACTCATTGTTCTATCCATTAGTTTAAGAACAATATTATTTACAAATAAGTCTAAATTTTGTTGTCGTTTTAATAAATACATAATGGGTATTACACACGCTTTTATAAATGTGTGAAACGAGTGATGTGTATAAAATTCTTCAACAATATTTTCAATAACATCACTCATTGTTTAATTCACCAGCTTGTATCAAATCTGTCAAGCGCAATGATGACTTTTCAACACAATCACGCAACACTAAACGTTCTGTTGTTGCTTGTTCAGGATTTGTAACAAATAATATTGATGTTGTTGATCGAATGTTCATTAAATAATTTGGTGAAAAACGTTTTTCGAATTGTTCTCTTAATACTTTAAATTTAATTGGTGGTAATAAACTTTGACATTTATTTATACTCCGCCATCCATCTTCTGCCATGATATCAAAAATTTTTGAATATAGATTGTTTCTATCTGCCTGTTGAATTTCTTTTAAAATATCTGTTAATGGAATGCGAAAATAATCTTTTAATGCTAGTAATATACCACTCGTATTACTAGATAGTTGTTCATCTAAAACCTGTGGAATAAAATAATTAGCATGTCTTCGAATTGCTTGTCGTCCATCTGTAATTAAATCATGCCAAATTTCATTTAATTTATCAATATTATTTTCATCTAATTCGTATAAAAATTGAATAGCCAATGAAAGATAAGGACAATCATTTAGATACTTTTTTCCATATTCAGCTTGACGAATTAAAATACGATCGTAGAGTTCGGGTGCTTCATTTCGTTGTTGATCAATAAATGAACGAAACCATGTTTGTAATTGTCCCCATTGATATTTAACATATTCTTTCAATAATTGTAATAATTCACTATTATTTTCGATTTGTTTAACGTACACAACTGGGATAAGTTTATTTTCATAATTACGCAATATTTGTCTATCCTCGTTCAACATATTTTGGATGATTGTTGTTGAATTATCAGATTGATCTAACTGTAAAATATGACGAAGCTGTTTAATAAACCTCTTTCCAATATCGATTGAATGTTCAGCTGAATATTCCACTGAATGATAAGACATATAAAGTAATGTGATGTTTCAATTTACTTTATAGAAAAACAAACCTGCTGTCTCAAAAGTGTCACGAACGTATTTCATAAATGCCATACACAGATCACCATAGAGAACAATGAGTTTGCCCATTGGTGTTTCAATTGTATCTCGACCGGTTCCAGATTGTTCTGATATCCATTTGCAACTACTCACAGGCAAGTTGGCAATTTCCTAGAAGAAACCGATTCATTCATAACATCAAACCCTCGATCTGCCAGAAATCTATTTCGGTAACTATAAGTCTAATTCGATCAGACTTTCTGCAAATGTTGACCATGTCAAAGTATGGTGACGGAATGTTTTTTTTTGGCTTCATCTGTCTCCGTCAGCACAACAAGGGTCCAAACGGGACTGTTCGTAGTTACACGATTTTCCCGCTTACGTAGATGCTGGAGAGTTCGGATTGATCTTAAATCGAAGCCAGTACTTATGACTGTAATATACAAGAGCCCGATTTTAAACTTATGCTCCGTTCGCATTTAACATTCAACGCAAGCTGAAAATCCGATTGATTTGAGCTTTTCAAAACCGTTTCTCTGTAGACTAGATTTAAGTTCAAAAATCGAGCTCTTGTACATACATTGTAGTCATAAGTGCTAGCTTCAACTTTGGACCAACCCAAGCTCCCCATCACTGAATTTGATGGAGAAATCCTGCAAATACGAAATGCTATAAAGATGAATGTCGCTGTTTTGATAAGGTGTCGCCAGTTGTCTGATGCAAGTTTAAGACCTTCTGGCAAACTCTCGTAATTTTTATTTAAAACGCCATACAGAGCTGGGAGATGTCTTATTTTGATCAAAAATGACTGTTCCGCATTCTACCACCACAAATTGAAGAAAATCTTTCTGAATTTGGTTTCTGTCAGAACAGTGCAAGTTTTAAAAAGTAAGTTTTTCAAGGCTTTCATAAAACGTTTTGATACCTCCTCGCTGAAGATCAAATAACCATGGATTCTGATAGTTGACACAGTGGACTATCCGATGGTATGCTTCGCTCAATATGGATTTTTTATAGAAAAGTTTCAGTTCTGACGGGGGATCCTTAGAGTTGTAAGTATCAATTGAATGAACTTACAGAGCTTGATCTATCCAAGATTCGAAGATTAGAAACTCGATCTGATGATGTGTGCAATTGAATTAGCGGATCAATATATTCTTTAACTGATAAATTGTTCTTTTCTGTGAATAATACTTTTTCAACTTTCATAAACCTACAAGAAAAAATAGGTGAAATAAAGTTCAAATTACTTTCTTTCACATACGAATGGTTTGATATCATTTGTCTCGTCTGAAATATTATTAGAAAAATTACAATAATAATCATCGTTTAATAAGTTATCGATGATGCTGATTTTTGTTCAACAATCAAGGGTTTTGACACTGTCTCCTTCTTAAACTTACTGAAGAATAAAACTCTTCATCGAATCACGACGATAACAAAAAAAACGGATGTATTGCATAAGGTGGACCAATGACGCCCATTTTTTAATTCATGACAGAATGCCGAGATTTAATAGCGAAAGAGATTATCAAGAAAATATAGTATGAAAGTAGAATGTACATTATACAAGACTAATTGAAACTTACTTGATCAGCACTGAGATTGATTGAAGATGTTGGAGATCTTCGTTCACTACCAGTGCTTTGACAGAAACCACGCTCGAAAGTATACAAATCATTTTCGTTTGATCCAACTAGAAAAAACAAAAATAACAGATTATATGTAAGGTTAGATGCTTTTGTACTCACTGTTTGATCGTCTAGATGAGTCATGCACTGAAGACGGACTTTTGTGCTAACTTCTTCTTGCTAAAATAAATTTAGAAATGATTGATCCATAAAATAAAATATACATATAACATACATTGGGGTGTATTTGGATTTATTTCTAATCGTTCGCGAACTCTTTGCATGAATTGGCGACATTCTAGAGTATTGTACACTATATGAAGTATTTCGGATGGTGTCTCAATAACATCACAACCATCGCGCGACAGACCTACGAATAAATTTAACATAATGTACTCAAGAGTACCTCACAAGCAAACTACCTTGGTCCCAAAAACAATATGGAATTGGCCAATGTGTTAGTTCCTAAATCAATTCCATTCATAGTTAAGATCAATTTAGAAAACTGAATTAAACTTACACTATCGTTTTGCTCGTTTATACACAAATGCCATGTCTGTTGTTCTATATGAGGAATTAATTTTACTTTTGCGTGGTCATATTCTTGAACGGACGATTTGTTTTTTGAGACAATAGCAACATTTTTGGCAATCATTGAACTAGAGAAGAAAGTATATTTACAAGATTGTTACCTTTTATTTAAAGTCTTACGTTGCCATCTTTTATAATCGTTGTCTTTGAAACTGTTTTAAATTTTTAGCCAGATAGTAAAACAAAAATAAAAATTTGAACAATGTAAAGACTTGATAATGGTAGCTTGTGAAAAAAGACAAAAACAGCAGCATTCATTTTCCTTTTCTAGAAGGTATATATATATATTTTCAAGAACTCGAATCAAATACTTTTGTAACATGTTTTGTTTTTCCTGTTCTCTTCTTCGTTTCTATACTCATTCGAACAGGTGTATGTGACAAAAATGAAACACGATGAATTGCTGTTACTGAATGATTTGAATTTTGAATGTGATGCTATGGCGACTATCATGCAGTGCAGTTTGTCAATACTTTTATAAGGAAAGTGGTATTTTTCGCAAGCCAGCTAAAACAAATAAAAATTCTTATACTTCCACCGAGAAACCACAGCATACTGTTTGGTCTGTCATATTTTTTATTGTGTAGGTGGACAATAGTGTTATCTTATGTTATTTTTCAAACTATGTGGATACACATGTGGGTGAAAGAAAAAAACTTTTCTATTGGCTTGCAAAAATACCTGCGGTGAGAAGGTGTGACATGATATATGCAGTTTTTCGTACAGTAGATGCATCTGTACTTGTATTTGTTCGCTCTAGCACAACTATTCTGCTTAAATAGCGAAGATTCTACTTCTTGTCTCATTCTCAATGTTATACTACTTAATTGGGTCGTCAAAACGTAATCCAGAACAAAACTCAGTAAATGCTGTCAGTCTGAATGATAATGTCATGTGCATGTAGAGAACTTGGTCGGTTCACATAAAGGTATCTTGGACCAACACCGAACATTGTTGGATAATAACAAGGACAACGTTAAAAGTATTCATAAATTCAATTTCAAACAACCTGCTCAATTGATCCTTTTTTTATCCTTATTCTTATTATTGTTTGTCTGCTGACGAGGGAATATTCCCAGCTGTCCGCGAGTTCTTTCAAACATACATCAGTCTAGTCTATATCAAGATAATAACAAGTCTAAAAGGATTTATCCCCATGACTCTTGAAGACGCAGTTTTCTGGAAAATCAGTTTTCCAGAAACTCTAAAAAAATAACCACAACGTTTCTAAATAAGATATGATTGTGGTTAAATTTCTGATTAAAATGAGACGTCTCCTAGCTCTACACGACCTTTCTTTGCAAAGTTATAGAATTACAAGAAAAGCCCTAAACTAATTTCTTCTTATTTCTGTAGCTTTGAGCTGACAATGAATATTTGGGCCTTTTCATGTAAATTCTATAACTTTGCAAAGAAAGGTCGTGTAGAGCTGGGAGACATCTCACTTTAACCAGAAATGTGCGGGCTACGAACATGCCTTATTAAGAAATGTTCTAGTTATTTTTTTAGAGTTTCTGGAAAACCAGGTGGTCAAGAGCCCTGGGATGAATCCTTTTAGGCTTTTTACTATCTCGATATAGGCTATCGATTGATGTATGTCTGAAAGAAATCGGGGTTGCACAGCTGGGAATGTTTCCTCATTTTGGAAAATGCGTCGTGTTATGGCAGCAAGATCGATGGTCATTTTCAATCATTTATCAAAAATTCAAACAGTTAGTTCATCTATACCGATGACTATTGGTGATTCAACATTCATTACACGTTATTTTAGATTTATTAGCAGCATTAAATAAATTTCCAGATGGTATTAGTCCGAATATGCCAGAAGCCAATCATTCAAGGGCAAGTGCATTAGTAATCCCAAGGTGTGCAAAGCATTTCGGGTCTCCTTTCCAACAGCAACATGATCAAACTCCATTACAATTGTTAGCGTCTGTTCCCACTACACAACGTCAATAATCATATTATAAAAACGAACAAACTGTTATATGTTTTAGCTGTTAGCTTTTTTCATTTACTCATATCTTAAGTTCAGCTTCTATTCCATCGTCGCTCCATATTGCATCTTCTTTTCTTTTAAAGTAAGAAGTGCAGGAGTAAGGATTTTTATTTGTTTTAGCTGCCTAGCTAAATGTACCATTTTCCTCAATAATAGTATGGACAGCCTGCATTGCAGGATAGCCGCCTTAGTATCACAAAACTCAAATCATTGAGTAGCAATTTATGCGCTCTTATCACGTTCAGAAATTCCAATGTGGTTTTAAGTTTTTGCTGTTGCTGATTATGAAGAGGAAAAGACAAAAAATACGGCGCTTCGCTAGACGTATATAATGGCGAATCAATACATTTACGTGTGAATAGATGAAAATTCAAAGCGGGAAATCTGGCTTTGAGCCTCATAATGACAATCTCTGCTCTTCTGGAGTGGAATTTCAGTTTCTTCGGAAACGGACGCACAGGTAGACATTCCTCTCTCAATTTCTCCCTCATTTTAGATAACTTCATGGCTCGAAAATCCACATTTTGGGAAATTAATTCATTCCACTTACCAGCTACTACTTTGACAAGTCCTTGTCAACTGCCTCAACCGCTTCTATGGTAAATTTTGCACTGCTCCTCAAGTTGTAATAAAGATTGGCAGGATGATATTGCAAGTGCGCGCTAAGATAGCTGGGTGCCAGACCCCTAGCAATTTTGGCAAATATTAATAAATGAATAATTTTAAAATGATCTGATAACGTAGTCCAATCTAAGATACCCAACAGCATTACACCAGACAAACCTTTCATGGCTCCCAGAGTAGCTAAAGCTGCACAGTTTCAAGTTTCTTGATGTTAACCTCTGTAGATATCGAATAGATCATACATTCGTAATTGAACACTGATAGTACGCAAGACCATTTCAAGAAAATTTTTATGTAATGTTGTTGGATGATACGACATTAATCCAACAGTATATGAAGTTTTATAGAAAATATTGTTCACGTGACCGATCCAGGTTAAATCATACGAAGGAATTAAACCGAAGTATCGTGCATCTATCGTTATATTAATCATACTGCAAGTAACAACAATGATGGTACGGCTAACGCTTTCTTCAAGTTATGCCGTGACCCCTAGTAGCATTCCCGCTTCATTTCCCGGCGAGAATACAGCCTCATCTTGTCGCGACTTTAACAAGAAATTTGAAACTTAACGCGATCGCACCTAATCTTGCTATTATTCCCGTGTAACGAAAATTTCACAATCTTGACGCGAAATTGTTTTTAACGGGATCGCGCTGAAAACCTGCTAAGATCGCGGCAAGATTGAAACGGTATCCGGACAAGATCGGGTAAAGGAAAATTCTCCTCAAGCTCTTGTCGGGAATTACACACGCTCTTGCCAGAATCCTGCCGCGATCTAGTCACACTCTTGAGACACAAATCGAACGGGATCGCATAACGAACTTGTTCAAGAACGCGATCACAATTATAAGATCGCGATTTTATTTTGCAAAAATCAGCAGTTTTTCGTTACATTGCGTGAAACCTATATAACTCTTTTTTTAATCTATGCGCCGCATTCCTATATGTACAATCAAAGAAAGCATATAGAACAATCAGTGTATGTTCCTATGGTTGGGAAAGTTTAGTGTCAATTCGTCCATAATTATTCACTCTCATTCTTGATGTCCCCCTTTGATGTTGTTTGATCTTACAAAGCCAATTAGGAACGGATGGAGACGACACCGGCTCAGCATGTATATATAGTGAAAATTATCACTAGAATTTCACTTATCACTAAAATATCACTCGATTTCATAATGTTTCTTCTTCTCGCTTTCTTCGCTTTAGTCAACTCACAAGCAGTAAGTAGTATTGTCCTCGGACGCATCATATAATGCATCGATTTTTCCCTTCTAGCAATATAACAGTATCATTGACCTGCTCCAAGCAGAGCAGATTTCAAACATCATCGCCACCTTAACAACAACTATCACCACCCCTACCATTGAACCAAGAACCGCTCAAACACATGGAACAAAACTGAAAGACATTGGTGAATTTACCCAATCTGTTATTGGCTGCTTAGCAGCTCTTGGATCGACCACGAGTACGATTGTATGTTGGAGTACGATGTTATCGTAACGGAGGGGAGTGTAAGGTAAAACATTAATGCCTCCTACCATTAGGTATTTAACTTACCTGCTGCTCTTCTTTAGAGCGCTTGGTGGTACCCGAACACTTCAAACGAATATCGTCGTCGACACGATGCAGCGCGAGGTGAGTACAAAACTGTTTTTTCTATCAAAAAAAACATGATTTTTCCTTTTCTTACAGAAAGACAAATCGCCCTCAACCGTCTCTCCACATCAAACCCAACCACTGACTACTAAATAGCCTGATCATTTTATGACTTCATTTTCTCTTTTCATTTTTTCTATTGACTGCTTTTTTACTTCGACATAAATAAACTTCCAATTACGATTAAAAGCATAAACCATATAACACATAAGGAACTCATGACACATCAATCACACATAGAGCGAACACACTCAAAACAAAGATATAGATCCTTACATCACCCAAAAACTAATAACGAAACCCTAACCAGCGACTTTCTCCTTGATGACTTTGTCAAAAGTGAAAAGTAAGATGTGCAATCGATAGAGCATCAAAAGGTGTATCTGGAGTCATCAAAGATAGAGTTGGAGCCAGTGAAGAAACGAATCGCCACAGCATTTTCTCATATATTAGACGATAGCCAAAACAACTTATTGACACATTGGGATTGGCTTTGGCCGTATATGGTTGATCTCGCCCGAGGCCTGATCTCTAACTTCTGAGCAGTACTCTGTTCATCATCATGAAAATATCAATGTGACTAAACAAAAATTGCAGTGATGTGAACGTGAAGGAGAAGCTCCGTTTTACATCGGATATGAGTTATATATATATACTACTCTAATAGTAGATTTTCTGTAGTCATATTGGTATTTTCCTGATGATGAGCAGAGTACTGGTCGAAAGCTCGAAATAATAATACAATACTGAATTCTGTAAGAATCTTAATATGTTTTACGTAGCAGCTATTTACAGTTTGTTTGTCAATTATTTTCTACCTTCGTTTTCATAGAAATCTTATCGCTTTTCATGTTTCAATTTGGAAATTCTCAGTAGCTTTAATGTATGATCTTGTAGAGAATTTCAGTTTTTAAGTACGCTTGTACGACTGTAAACGTTTACGTTTCGTTCTTGGAACGTGAACGCTAGGACACGTTGGCGCTTCTTGAACGTCAAGTCGAGAGTTCCTAATAAAGTTAGCGTTCACTGGAACTCTCAAGTTCACGTTTAAGAAACACCAACTTGTCCTAGCATTCGTATTCAAGGTAAATGCTGAAAAGAAACATTGGACGTTTACAGGCCTAGACGCTGACGAAGCTCATTACAAGAAATTACCTTTTATATATCATAAAATCTTCAGCACATAGTAAATATTGATAGTAGTAAAAAAAGCTATTTCGAATAGATCCTATGAGAAAGACCATAAGATAACAATTTTTGTTTGCTACTTGCAATCTCGAATTTGGAAAATATACTAAATAATAAAGTAATGTTCTTTGTGATTCGAATTCACTCATGTGAATTCGAGTAAAAGGTGACACATTTTAAGCATTAGAGAATTTGGTACTTTTGCCGCGCTACACCAAATTAGATAAAAGTTGGACGCTAAGTGCATAATTTTTCGGTGAATCCGACAGCGGATTCATCATAATTCTATTTTGACTTCTTTTCTGGTGTCGACATAATCTACGTGATTTTTGCCTAAATTTTATTTTTCTCATTGGCGCCTTTTTTTCAACCAAT